CCCCACGCCCGCGCACCCTCCTCCACACACACCCACAGCCACACACCCAAGGTCACCCCGTAACTCACTCTCTGTGTGTCTGTGTGTGCGTGTGTGCGCGCGGCCGCAGGCGGCGCCCCCTCCGACGCCTTTGCCGCCTACATCCGCCAGAGAGACTACAGCCTGCTCACCCTGCAGGCGCGGCCCCGCCGCGTGCTTTACTTGCTGTATTTCAAAAACAAGTTTGAGTTGCAGATGTGTTGGAAGCGCCGCCTTGCCCGCCGCCTCGCCACCGCCACCCACCCCGCCGCCGCCTGCGCCTCCGCTGCCCACCTCACCTCTCCTGCCGCCGCCTCGCCACCCCTGCCTCGCCTGGCGCAGGAGTACGGCGCCCTGCTTAGTGAGGCCGGCTTCGACTCGGTGGCAGCGCTGGACCGCACAGAGGAGTTCCGGGGGCACCTGGCGCGGGAGCTGGCGGCGGCGGAGGGCGACCGGCAGGGCTGGGTGGCGGCGTTCAGCCAGGAGGACTATGAAGAGGTGGGGTGCCAGTGGCGGTGTGGTGTGTGTTTGGTGTTTGTGGAGGGGGCTTATGTCAGGGGGCGGCTGGGGGGCTGGGCAGCTTGGGGGTGGGGCGCTGGCTGGACGGCGGCGCTCAGCTGGCACCATGGCAGGGCGAGGCTGCGGCGGTCCGGCGGCGGCAGGGCTGGGCGCGCACGCCACGCGCCGCCTGCGGCACCGCATGTGGGACAGGGCTCTGCCCGGGAGTCGGTGCCTGGCCTCCACTGGCGCCGTCGCCGCGCCCGCCACCCCGCGCCCGCGCTGCATGCTGCCTCCCAGCTGCCCACCGCGACGTCGTTGTACCGCGTGTTGTGCCGCGCGCTGTACCGCCCGCAGGTGACGGGCAGCTGGCGGTTCAAGCTGGACCGCGTGGCTGCCGGGGAGCTGCAGTGGGGCCTGTTCCGGGCCTTCAAGCAGATGAGCGGGCGGGACTACCACGAGCCAGAGGCGCCGGGGGACGGCTTTGCGGCGCTGGCTTGAGCTCAGGCTGGCCCCAAGGCCGGCCTGGGCAGGGTGCGGCGGGCAGGGGCGCGGGGCAAGCGGCGCTCGGGCTGCGGCCGCCGCGGCGGAGGTGCGGGCTGGCCTGACGAACGCCGGCGTTAGGGTGGCCTGAGCAGAGGCGGCCTGCGCCGACATGCGCTGGCAGCAGGCGTGAGTGGGCAGCAGGTGGCGGCCGAGCTTGAGGGAGGGGCTTGCCCGCTGCGCGGCGCCCGCTAAAGAGAAGAGCCCCACAACTGGGCAGCAGCTTTGTTGACCGCGGAATTCTAGCACAGCAGTTTGTAACGAGCACAGCTTGGGTACGGGCAGCACGCCCGGGCCGTGGACGCCGCTCGCCGCCCTCACGCTGCGTGCGCCCTGGCGGCAGCGAGCATGAGAAGCGCCGGCTCTGCCGCCGTTGGGCCCGATGTTAGCTCCTTCGCGATTCCCTCTGCATTCACACCCTCCCACGCATGCTAGCGCAGCTACAGGGCGGGGCGATGGAGCGGCGATCGCGCGAGCTGCAGCGCTGGGCGTAGGGAGCGCATGGATTGCCTCGAGGACATCACGTGGCGGGTGGCCGCCATGCCGCCCGAGCGCCGCGCGGCCCTGCTGGCACTGGCGGTGCGCCGCCGCCCGCCGCCCATGGCGGCCAGTTGCGCCCACCGCTGGCCTGTATACACGCAGCCCCAGCTGGAATGCGTGGCCCCTCACTGCCGCACGCGTGTGGCTGTGTGCAGGGCGTGACGCCGGAGCAGGCTGCGGCAGCGGCGGCCGCACCACCCGCGCCACGACTCTCCAAGGGATGGCCCTTCCCTTCCAACCTGCCGCCACGGGAGCGGCTCGTGCAATACCTGGGAGGCCTGCACCAGGAGCAGCTGGAGGGGCAGCAGCAGGCGGCGCAGCAGCAGGCGCAGCCGCCGCAGCAGGCGCAGCCGCCGCAGGTTCAGCCGCCGCAGCAGGCGCCGCAGCAGGAGCAGCAGACACAGGCGCCCGTTTGCCAGCAGGCGCAGGCGCGGCCGCGGGAAGGGAAGGCGGGGAGGCCGCCGCCGCAGCAACAGCAGCCACGGCCCATACTTCTGGAGCTGCTGCAGCAGAGCCGCACTTTCCAGTCGCCAGACTGTGCAGGTCGGTGTGTGGGCGCTGCCGCCGCCCGCCCCTCCCTCCCATCGCCCCTGCCGCTTGCTCCTCACGCCGCTGCCGCCGCAGCATGCACCACAATCCTTACCGCTGCCCTGCCGCTGCCCCTCCTCCTCCTTTCTCCACCTCTGCTGCCTCTCTGCACACACACCCCTCACCTCCCCATCCCACCACACTCACACACAGACGCACAGGCCCCCCCCACAGACACCCCACACACACGCCGTGCTCCCTCTGTTTTTTTTCCATCTGTGCAGATGCCATGGCCGAGGAGCTGGGGGTTGGGGACCTGCACCGCAGCCTGCGGGGATCCCTCCTGCCCGCCCACCAGGCCAGCGAGGAGGCGGTGGCGGCGGCGCGGCAGGCGCTGCGCGCGGCGCTGCGCGCAGCGTGGAGCGGTGAGGCGCTGAGGTGCGGGGCTGCGGGCTGCGGCTGTGGGCTGTGGGCTGCGGGGCGGGTGCTGTGGGATGCGCTCTGTGCGCTGCGCCTCTGCGCTGTGGTCTGTGTCTCGTGGATGGTGGGCTGTGGGGTGTCTGTGGGCTGTTGCTGTGCTCTGTGCGCTGCGCGCTGTGGGCTGTGCGCTGGGCTGCTGTGGGCTGTGCGCTGTGCGCACCCCTGCTCCTGGCAGCGGAGCCGGCTGCCTGTTGCCGGGTGGCCTGATTGCTGGCTGGGGTGTGGGAGCGCTGGGGGGGAGTGTGTGCGGCATGGCGCACACTCCCACTCCCCCTCCCCACCCACCACACGCGTGCACACCCCCCTCGCCTCTCCCGGGCTCACCCACGCCTGCGCCCTGTGCCTGCCAAGCCCTCCCGTGCTGCCTCCAACCAGCCCCTCCCCGCCCTGCCGCCTGCCAATCCCTCCCTGCATAGCAGCACCTGCCCCACCTGCCCCCGCCCCGCCCCGCCTGCCCCACCCGCACCCGCAGGCGCGGCGTGGCGCTGGCCAAGTGCGGCGACCTGCAGGCCGCGCTGCCCTGCTACGGCCAGGCTCTGGATCTAGACCCCGGCAGCGCCGACGCCCTGGTGGCGCGGGGGGCTGCCCACGCCAACCTGGAGCAGTGGCAGCTGGCCTCGGGTGGGCTTGAGGCGGGGAGGTGGTGGGAGGGGTGGGGTGGGTGGGGTGGATGGGGAGGGGGTGGGACAATGGCGGGGCGGCTTAGAGAAGGAGCGACGGGGTGGCTTTGGATGGGGAGCGGGGGGTGGCTTTGGATGGGGAGGGGTGCGCAAGGAGGGCCGCTGTTGCGGTGGTTTGGGGGCCTGCTGCGGTGGTTTGAGCACGTGAGCCGCTGCTGAGCTGGCTGCTGACTGGAGCCTGGCCCGGGCTGGCCGCCGCGCCCTGCCGGCCTTGCCTGCAGATGACCTGGAAGCTGCCCTGCAGCTGCAGCCGCAGCACCCCAACGCTGCCGAGTATCTTGCGGCGGTACAAGCCAAGGCACGGGCCAGCGGGACGCGCCTGCTGGCCCTGGCCGCCAGCCACCAGCAGGCAGCCGCGCAGCGGCAGGAACAGGCGGGCGACGCCGCAGGGGCGCGGCAGGCGCAGCAGCGGAGGGGCGGCACGGATGGCGCCGCCGGCGAGTACCGCGGAGCTGCGGCGCAGCAGCAGTGGCAGCAGGAGTGGGAGCGGCAGGAGCCGCGGCAGGAGCCCCGGCAGCTGCCGGGCAGCCGCGTCCAGTCGGGGGGACAGCCCTGCCCGGTGCGGGACTCGCAGCAGTACCACTATCAAGCAAGCCAGCAGCTGCAGCGGGATCGGGAGGCAGGGCCCGACAGCGACGGAGACGGCGGCAGGAAGCGGCGGAGAAGCGGGGCCACCCATAGCAGCCGCAGCCGCAGCCGCAGCACGAGCGGCAGCCGGCGGGGCCGGCGGCGCCGCAGCGGCAGCCGCGAGGGCGGCCGCGGCCGCGGCAGCACCACCAGCAGCAGCAGCAGCAGCGCCGCCAGCAGCGGCAGGAGCGAGGGGGAGGAGCAGGCGCACCAGCAGTACGGCAGCGGGACCGCCAACGGGGCCACCAGTGACGCAGCTGCAGGCGGCGGCGGCGGTGGGATGGATGTGGCCACTGCCCTCACGATTGTTGCTCAGCACTACAAGCACAGCAGGTGTGTGGTGGGGCAGGCGGGCAGGCAGGCGCAGCGGCAGCGGCATGCATGTGCTGTGTTTGGTGGCAACTGGTGTGTATATGTGTGTGTGGGTGGTTGGGTGTGTTCTGCCGCGGCGCGCCTCACGGCAGCTGCGGCCTGCCATGGTCCAGCAGCAGCTTGCTGCTGCGCCTGTTCCTTTTTCTGTGCAACCGGTTGGATACCTGACTGGTGGCACTGCCTCTGTGTGACCTGCTTTTGGCTCCCCCGTGCAGGCGTGGTAAGGAGGGCAAGGCAAAGCGCGGGAAGAAAGACAAGGGCAGCAAGCGGAGACAGCACAAGAAGCAGAAGAAGCACAAACGGCACAAGCGGTGACCTGTTGGCTGGCAGCAGCAGCAGCACAGCCTGTCAGGACAGTGTTTGACATCAGATCTGACCTGCTGTGCATGCTGCCATTCCTGAGTCAGCACAGTCCTGCAACAAGCCAGCAGATGCTCGGATGAGCCTTCATCCTAACGAGCACCACCATCCCGCAACAAGAAAGGGCCAGTCCTAGCTGCCTCGCTGCACGTCCTCGGGCGCTGCACGTCCTCAGGAGGCTCGAGAGAGCTCCGCACTGCAGGCCTCCAGCAGTGCTGTTGAGGTCAACCATGCGCCTAGGACTCCTCGCCTGGGCCGCCGTGGCCTTTGTAGCGGTCGCTTCAGGTGAGGGGCGCTTGCCCGAAGATACCATGATCATGACCTGGCCTGGGCGCGCCCGTGGCCCGCTGCTTCAAGCTGTGCCTCGCTGATGCTCGGCATATATATAACAGAGTCAGGGGCAGGGCTACCCCGGGGGCCGCTCCTGTGACTGCGCCCAAATTTGCAGGCACTGCCTTTGCCTGGTGGTTCTGCGGCGCATCCAGTCCACCGCTCCCTCCGGCCTGGCTGCCACCCACCTCGAATCGTTGCTCAGCTACTCTACCACAGGCGACCAGGGTGAGGCCGGGCTGGGCGGGGGCACTATCTGCCTGCTTGGCACCCTCCAAGCAGGCAGGGCAGGCTTGCTTGTGCTTGTGTGGGCTTAAAGTCTGGTAAAGCAAGAACTAGCTTGCAACATAGACTCCCCGCCGAAACGGGACGGGAACCGGGCGAAAGCAGAGAAAGCAATAAAACAGGGGTGGAGCAAGGCGACATGCAACGCAAGCAGCTGACAGGGCACGCATCGAAACGTGTGTATGACTGGCAAAGTGGCATGGCGCATTGGGGAGAAACGCAACGGTACGGGAGCATGGGCTGGCCAAACGGCAGTGCGGAACGCTAGGTCACTAGAAAAGCAGGGAAAGGCGCACTATGTATGCAATGAGGGCAGCCCCGGCTCGGGGCCGTTGAGAAAGCAGTGGGCGGGAGGGGGGAGGCCCCGGTGTGGGCGGGCCCCATTGAGGGGGGATGGGGCGCGCAAGCGGCCAGATGGGGCGGGGCGCGGGCGGCAGTGGAGTCCTGCGGCTGGGTGGGATATAGGGCAATGAGCGTTGAGCAGTGTGCGATGAGCAATGAGCAATGAGCAGTGAGAAGCCCCTCCCTAAACAAAGTGAAGCGCAGGACGGGGTCCGGTGGATGGGAGGCAAGGAAACGCGGGGGGTTGCCACGTGCGCTACCGCCGCCGCCGCAGGCAGCACCCCTGCGACGGCGGCGGCAGCAAGCCGTGGACCGAAACGCCGTGCCGC